CCCCCCCCCCCCCCCCCCGTGCTCACTCCCACACTCAAATCCATTTAATAATGCTTGTCCAGTGTATTTCCTGCCTCTCACTCCAGCACTTGGGAGGGTACGGGAAGGGGGTGAGGTTACCTGTCCTTGGGTGGATTTCCCTGTTTTTCTGAAACAGGCTGCCATCCACTGTGGGAGAGGGTCTTATAAGGCAGTTCTGCTCTCCCCATGCTCTCTTTTCTTTCACAGTAACCGCAAAACCGCGCTTTCTCTGTTAAGTACACATTCCTAGGACTATAACAAAAGGCTTCTGTGAGCTTGAAGCAGCAGGGGAGGGCGCAGAGTGAAGGCCTGAAGATTTAAAGGGTTTCATTGCTTCCGTGCTGGGGACCGTATTGTGTTTGAATGCAGTTTGGAATCTGCTTCTCCACCACAAGGGGAAATAGAAATCTGCCCTAAAGCTGCATGGGGACCTGGACTGTCTTTATCCTCATAGCTTTGTGATTTCCTGCCACCCCAGCAGTGGGGCTCCCTGACATGCAGGAGGCCCCAGGAAACCCTGCCTCGGGCCAGGGGAAGGAGCCCCCTCAGGGGTTGGGCTCTGGGCTCTGAGCCCTCAGTTCACCAGGACGTCTTTGGTTCGCTGAGCGGCTACTTAGCCATGCCTGTTCAAGCCAGCTGCAGCCCACAGCCACAACTCACCTGCCCTCCCGGAGAATGGGTTTCATTGTTTTAGAAGAGATACAGGAAATCGGAATCGTCCATCCTTCCCAATCAGGGGGAATTGGATTCTGCAGAAAAAAGTAGCAAGCATTAAATAAAAAGTCCCCTTCCCTTTTGTCCTGCCCGCCCCCCCCCAGGGTTCGCCCCTCCCTCTTGCCCCAACTAAGGACACAAGTCCCTGTGCCCTGCATTGGTAGTTCCAGGCACTGTGAACCGGGGGGCTGGCTGTGCTGCCAAGCTCTTGCTTTTTCAGTAGCAGAGTTAATGTGGCCATGATTCAGAATTATGGGACCCCAGATACTAAGGAAGCGAACTGACTTCTTTTTGGCTCACAGCAGACTCACAGTCAACAGAGTAGGTTTCATGTTCTAATGAAACTGTGTAGAAACTCTGTCCTTGGTGGCAGAATGGTGTGTGACGTGAGCCTCTCTTCCCCGCACCCCCGCCGCCCCCATTGCCTGCTCTCTCTCTCTTCCTCAGAGCTGAGAGCTATGAATCCAGCCCAAGCTCCTTTAAGCAAAGGGTGCTCCGAACATGAGCTCGGAAAGACTTCTTGTGATAGGCCCCTCCAGAGTTGCCTGTTGCCCCTCGGATTTAGGAAAGGCTGGAGAAGTCTTTCACTCCAATTAAGGAGAGCTTGTGTGGTTAGTGGCTAGGGCCTTTGGCACGGGATTTACAACAACAATAATACAACGAAATTCAAATACAAAATAAAAACTTAATAATAAAAAATAACTTACAATTATATAGCTCTTTTCTTCCAGGGAGTCCCAAACACTTCCTTATAAATTCTGTCCTATTTTCACAAAGCATGTATTATTTCCCAGAAATGATTTAGGCTCATTTGGAAAACACTTTGATTCTTTTAACCATCAACCGATCCCAGTTACAGTAAAACCCCTGTTATCTGATTTTCTGTGAATCGTAAAGCTAGTAGTAATTGGCACATTATATATTTTACCAGTGCAATGACAGCTCATGTTTACAGTGGTGGCCCTGATACTAAAATACTAATTTCCCCACTCAGGAATCAAAGAAAGATTAAATTGTATCCAATAGAGTTTTTCATGTTAAGAGTCTATTTTATTATATTCGAATGTTTTTTAGAAGAGTCCAAGTATGTATCCACCATGATTTCTCAGAGCAGTGCCAATTTAAAATATTTTATCCTTTCTTGTCCTATAAACCAAACCTTGTAAAAAAATTGTTATTTTGTCCGTGCTTTAGATTTTAAACCTGATGGGGAAACAACACTGCTTTTTCAGAACAGATGTTACAGACATGAAGTATCATAAAATATGAGCACCAAAATTGGACAGATCACTGCAGACACTTGCCACTATTAGTCTTTGAGACCTTGGCCCATTGTGTGTGTGGTGAGTCGTGCCTGGGTTTCACAGCATCCTTCAGAGGCTGGCAGGAGTTTAGCAAGTACGTCATTAATGGCTCAGACCCGGNACAGCATCCTTCAGAGGCTGGCAGGAGTTTAGCAAGTACGTCATTAATGGCTCAGACCCGGGGCCCTCCTGCAACCCTCTCTTAGGCTTTGTGAGATGTGGTTTGCATCATTTTCCTTGAAGGAAACGTTATGTAGAAATATAAATGCAACATACAATGAGGAGATGTTAACCAAGAAATTGAAATTCTACAAGTACCTAAGAAAGGGGTTAAGATAAAATCGCACCACAGGGAAAGAAATGTGAACACAGTGCCCCCCTCCCCACTGCCTCTGCCTTGCATCAAGCCCTCCCCAAGAAGCGTGATGCAAACTGCCATCCACGGGACCTAGGGACAGGGACCTAGGGGCTGCCTCTGCAGGTGCAGTTCAGAAAGCCAGGAGCTCAAGCCCGATAAGAGAGCCTAAAGGAGAAGGAAACAGAGGACCTAAAACAACAGAGAATAATGTACCCCATTCTCCTGTGGTTCGTCAGTTCATATCCTTGGCCACAGAATAGGATGTTGACCTATCACTGGTATTGTATAGTAACGTCTCAGACCCTTCATGTTCGTTGCCTCATTTGACCTCACAAGAACCCTGCAAGGTGGGTGTGATAGAAAGAGTTACTCTC